CCCCCATCTGCTCCCCCAACCCCCCCATGGCTGCCCTGGCCAGCCCAGCTCCCGATACTTTAAAAAAAAGCCCCCACCCACCAGTGCTGCCAGGTGAGGGGGCGATCCCCACTGCCCCATGCCATGTGGGGGGCTCTTCCATAAGCCCTTTGGCCCTGCATTGCTCCCCCAGCCCTGCCAAAGCTGCCCCGCCCACCCCAGCTCCATCCCTTTAAGGAAAAAAAGACACCAGGACTCACCACTCCTGCAACAGCCTCAGGGCTTCAGGGGGCTCCTCATGTGGCAGGGGGCAGCAGGGATTACCCCCACCCCCACCAGCAGGAATGATGAGTCTGGGTTTTTTCTCTTTTTTTTTTCTTAAAGGGCCTCAGTCACATTGGGCAGGGCAGCCATGTGGGGGGCTGGGACAGCAGGGGGATGGTTTGGAGGGCTCATGCAGAGCCCCCCATGCAGCATGGGGAAGTGGGGATTGTCCCCCAGCTGTCAGCACCCGGTGAGTCAGGACTTTTTTTTTCTCCAAGTGCCAGGAGCTGGGGTGGTCGAGGCAGCCATTGCTGGGCCTGGCTGATTTAGAAATTTGGCTGATTCAGCAGCAGCCGAATCTCCGAATCAAATTGGGACAGTGATTCAAATCACCTAATCGAATCACTGTCTCCCGATCTGGCTGAATCTGAATCCAAAGTGAATCCTAGCCACTTTGCACAGGCCTAAATTAGATACCTAGAAAATTATAAAAATGTATAAATCTTCCATATATAGAATCTAATTGGGGTGTCATCTTACATTCAGGGTTGACTTAATTTTGAGTAAACACAGTGCATTGGAGCAAGCTTTGTCTTAAAAAAAAAATAGACATATCATTCTTCTGTCATAGCTGAAAAGAGAACCAGTTAACTGACCTTTGTCTGGTTTTACTGAATATGCATGACCTCTGGATGTGCTCAAGCACAGGTGAGACATGGGTAGCTTCTTATCAGGTAGTTTGTGACTTAATCAGTTTCACACTAAATGAAATGAGCATGTTGAAAGAGGATTTGGAAATACAAACTAAAATAATTTTTACCATGACTACATAGAAAAGATTCTATCCTAATGATAATAGTCTTTTTTCATCTTTTTAGATTGATTGTTCGGGAAACATTACACTGGACAATATTGTGAGGAAAGATGGCGTTGTAGAGCATACCCAGCCAAAACCCCCTTCAAACAGAACCGTCCAGTCTCCAAATTCATCAGTGCCATCTCCAGGCCTCTCTGGTATGGTAGCTACTTGGTTTCACTACGACTTTCAGTTTACTTGATATAGTGGGGAATAAAACATATGAGACACTTTGCTTGCTGATCTCAAAATGTCCATTTGTCTTACTGCATTATAACAGTGTCTTCTAATCCAGCAGTTCTCAACCTTTTTTCTGCCAGGACCCATTTGTAAACATCGATGGCCAGTCCTGACCTAGTAAATAGTTTAAGTAGAAAACAGCCCCCTGGCCCTGCTGGTACCCCTCACTTCCAACCCACAGCCCCCCACCTCCACAGCTCTGCTGGTGCCCCTCACTCTTGACCCACTGTCACCTGCCCCTAGGCCCCCAGTGTGTTTGGCTGGTGGCGCCCCCAGTTTTGTGTGTTCATATTAGGCAGACTGGCACAGACAGGAGCCTCCTCTGTGGCCCAGTGGGTGGCACCCAGTGCAGGAGGGCAGAGTGGGACAGTGAGATTTATTGCTGCCACCACTGGGGACCTCACTGTCAGCAGTGGTGCGGAGGTGGGGGGCTGGGGGCTGTGCTTCCCTAACCTCCTCCCACTGCCAGTTGGTTGTGCACTGGGTTGCAGCTCTATCCCGTCGTCATGGCCCAGCTGCCAATGCCACTCCCCTCAGAGTGCTTGCACTGCCTGCCACCCCACCTCTCCTCTGAGGCAGAGCATGGCCTGAGGGGGAGCAGCAGCTAGGCCATGGTGGCAGGATAGAGCCACAGCCCAATGCACAAACAACTGGCAGTGGGAGAGGAGGTGAGGGCAGCACAGGGCCTTCCCCCTCCCTACCCTGTCTGTTACTCATCGTGCTATTGGCGTTACAGCTGGTGAGGGAGTGGCAGCAGCGAGTCTTGCTGCTCTGCTGTGCCCTCTCACATTGGGTCCTGCCTTCTGGGCTGCAGCCCTGGGCCTGCTGTGGGCACACAAATCTGGGGGATCATGTGCCCCTCCCCCCCCCGACACAC